GGACATCTAGACCCAGCCATGACACTCTTTCTTTTCTCTCTGCAGCCACGCATTAAACTGATCCATCCTCAACAAGCACAAGCTCTTTTTTCCTTTTTCAGATGCTGTCCACAACCACACCCTCCACACCCTCCGCACACATGCACGCATACAGGCACACGCATACACAGGGCCATAGGTGCTACCCAGGGAGGGGCTCAGGCACCAGGCCAGAGGGTGACGGGAGCTGGACTGCTGGTCCCAAGGTTCACCTTCCATCTGACCATAGACTGTGTCAGGTTTGACTTTGGACCTGGTGGTTGAACAGAATCCAGATCACAGCAGACAGAACCTGGCAGTCATGTGGCATCCAGTGATCAAGAGTTCCAACTCCACCAGGGCCAAGAACAGGCCCCAGGGGCTGCCTCTCAAACTCAGTCCTCCCTTGGAGGCTCACCATAAGGACCAAGCCACAGCTTTCCCCACACTGGGCTCTCCAGCACTCCAGGACCTGCCAGTTCCTGTGGCCCAAGGTGGCGGGTTGATGATACCATCATGCCCCATGTTGACTGTATTCCAGCTACCCAGGACACACACGCGAAGCACACCCCTAGTGTGACATGTGTCGCCACCAGAATACAAGGCCTGTCAGGAGCAGACTTCCTTCTTTGCAGTACAAGATACAATATGCAGCTTTTGTTTTGGAGGGGCTATCCCAGCACACCCCTGACCACCCCCCACCCCCCCCGGCTTCCCCAAAGCAACAGTTCCCTGAGTCTTGTAGGGTCGTCTCCCACCCTCAGCAGTGCTGCACCTCACCAAGTCCTCCAGCACTGGCCATCTTTTGCTCCTCCTAGCCAATCAGCTCGATGTCATGATGAAAGTGATCAGTGTGAGATTCTGTGGGAGTGGCAAAATGTGGCTGTGTCTTCATGGTGACAAGGAGAGGAGAGTCCACCATCCTGGGGCAGGGGGGAAATGGGTAATTTTGCCTTTCCCATCTGAATGAGAAGCATGTCTGATCCTCTTTCTAACTGCACCAGAGAAGAGTATTTACCAATTGGTGGAGGTAGTCATGAATCTAAGGTTGCATCAACTTTCTCAGCAGGAGCACCAGGCTGGTCTTGGGGCTTGGTCTGTTGTGCTCTGCAAGGCCCAGTCCTCAGTGCCCAGAGGTGTAACCAGGTCCCTGGTGCTTCCAGCCAGATCGGTGTCCCCTCCCTTTGGAGCCCTGTCTGGAGTGGGGACAGGGTGGGTGACACTGGGGGAGGGGAGCTGAGCAAGAGCCAAGGCTCATTGGAGGAGCCTCCTTGGTTCCCCTCACAGAATTCCCTTGTAGTAGATAAAAATGGAATCTGTTTTAGAAGGAGCAGAGCCAGGTAAGAGAGGCTGCCTGGGAGGCTGCAGGTACCCAGGAGGAGCTGGGATTTGCCTGCTGGGCTCAGGCCTAGTGTTCCCAGCCCCCAGCCCTGAGGGTGTGTTTGCAAGGAAGTGGCAGAGAGCCCAGGGCTGGAGAGGCTGAGGCAAGTGCTGCCCAGAGGCTTGGCATTTCCTCCACAGGGTCTCATTCACCAGCACAGGGTCCCCTAAACCCTCAGATGCCACCCAGTCTGCTCTGCCTCTTTTGCCAACTTGTGTCACACATTGTCCAGGGCACAACAGTGGACTGTACTTGCTGCCCTTCATTCTTTGGGTACAAACACAGTGGGGGCCCTTTCTGCACTTGGTTAACCACCCTGTTGCCTGCACACTTACTCCTGGGAGGCTGACCAGGGGAGGAACAGGAACGTCCACCATGTGAATGAGAACCACACCTCGGAGATGTGGTAGGATTTGCCCCCAGACTTCCTGATTGTTGGTTTAAGATTCTGCCGTCCCATGACAATCTCTTCTGCGTCCTCACCTGTCTGATGCCTTGCGTTGATCTGGGTTGTGTGTGGAACGAGTTTCTGTAGATTGGACCTTGGGTTAGCTACATAAAGTGGCCATGGCCATGGGCAAGGCCCTTGGCCTCTCTCAGTTCCTTGCTTCCTGTTTCCTGCAGGCTGGAACCCACGCTTACTAGTTTCCCTGACACAAGGGAGTTGGTTCAGCCCAAGGTGGTGAGGAGAGATGCCAGGCATGAGCTAGAGGTTCCCCATGGAGAGGCTGCCTGCCTGAGGCAGAGCTGAAACTGCCTCTTTATCAACTCAAAAACAGAGTGGTTGAGCCCAGGGCCCAGCTGGGAGGGAAGGGGCTTAGGTACAAGATGCCACTGCTGGCTGATTTAGTGTCTTTCCCCTTCCATTTGTCACTGGCTTGCCAGGCACTGGTGCCAAATCACTTGCTCTGGGCCTTTCTGAAAGCCAGGGCTGATTAGACCCCAGGGTGGGGAGTGGAATTCAAATGAGAGCCTTGAATTTCAGTCCGAAGCTGTTTCAGAGACTATAAAATCTGAAGGCCATAGCACTTCTCTCATGTCATTTTCTATATAAATGGAATGAAATGATCCATTCCACGGTAAAATCAGATGCGCCTGGTACATGTTAATAATCATTGTTATTGCTGCCAGCCAGGGAGGAGTTCTGGATTCTAGGCTCGTAGCAGAAGGGCTAAGTGTCCTGTGCAGAATGGACAGCAGGTGGTGCTGTCGCAGAACCAATCTCCTCCCCGTGCTCTGCGGAGAGGTTTTGTGTAGGAGCCAGGGGACCCTTTGGAGCCACGCACCTCTGAGATGGAAAGGAGAGCCCCTCACATTTGCTAGAGGGGTCCCTGGAACTTAAAAGGGCTTGCTGCTTTCCTGCAGACCTGACAGACCCAGGGCCTAAGCCCAGCACCACCACACTCCACCCCCACCTCTGCCTTCCACAGGGGCCACAGGACTGTCCCCATCACCTGCTCAATGGGGGCCTCTCTGGGGACCCACTCTGCGGGCCTCCCCACCCCCACCCGCCCAGTCCCCAGCTCTCAGGCCCCAGACTAAGAGATGGCCTCCCACAGTGCTGAGATTTCAGGCATGCGCCATCACACCTGGGTGAAAAATATGTTTTTTAAGTGGAAAAAAAAGGCAAATAGTGTTGTAAAGACTGAAGCTTATTGAAAATGTTGATGATGAGTGATTAAAACTTTTACTTCCAACAACTGACAATCACCCTTTCTCACCCTCTTTGGTGATGATAGCCAATGTCCCTATGCATGGCTCTTTATGAATGTGCAGCCCAGAGCGGGGAGGACAGTGACTTGGTGGGAAGTCATCTGCTGCCCAAGCTCTCCTGTCACAGATGAGGATGCTTCACACCTCCTTGGTCACCTGATCAAGGTGCTCAGCGAGTGACGGGCTGATCCAGACCTTGGGACTAGGTCTTCCAACTCCTGGGCCAAAGCATCTCCTTGTTCCTCCTTCCTCACCTAGGCCACCTCTGCCATCTTTTTTTCTAGTGCTTGATCCATGACCTGTGACCACAGCAATCACAAAATGCCTCTTTTATCTGCTGCCCTTGGCATCTGGGCACACAGGACATCTGGTTTCATCTAAACACTGGCACAATCTAGAAAGGGCGCAAAGCTCCCAAGGGGCAGAAATGGCCATAGGAGGGATGAGGGGGCAGAGCCCTGTTGCTAGGCAACCAGCTTCCTCTGTTGCCTAGGTGATGGCCCCTTTGGAGGGAAGCTGGTTGTGAGTGTGTGCATGTGAGTCTCCAGGGTTTTTAGCACCAGCTGGTGGGAGCCACCCCCTCCCACACAGGCTGCTCCTGCACATAGATGAAGCCCCCAGAGCATGATCGGGACCCTGCTTTCCCCATCATTCCCCAGCACACCCTCTCTGATCTCCCTTGAGCATCTTCCACTTAGCTCAAGCGGCTCCCTCTACCCAGGGCACCGCTGGGTCCCTGCCTCCAAGGGGAGAGAGGAAGAAAGGGGAAGCACCCACAGGATGCTAGGTGGCTGCAAAGCTGGGCTTCCTGCTGTTGGCCTAAAGCCCAGGGGTGACTGAAGGAGACAGAGACAGACATTCATTCATTCACCCAACAAACATTCCACTAGTGCTGCTTCCACACCAGGTCCTCAGCTCAAGGAACATAGGGCAGCATGGCTGCTGCTTCTGGCACCCGCCGGGGGAGGGGGAAGCAGACAAGGCAGCCATCAGTGCATGCAGGTGGGGCTGATAAAGCCCCCCAGAGGCCAGTCCTACTCCCAGAATCACAAGTAGTGCTTTATGAAGCAGGTAGTTCTTTACAGCTGTGATTAAGTTAAGGATTTTGGTTGTTGTTGTTGTTGTTGTTGTTGTTGGGGGCGGGTGTTCTTTTTTGTTTTTTGGCACTGAGGACTGAACCCAAGGCCTTCGCACTGAGCTACATCCCTACCCATTTTTTATTATTTTGAGACCAGGCTTGAAGTGGTGATCCTCCTGCCTCAGCCTCCGAAAGTGCTGGGATTATGGGCGTGTGTTCCACCATGCTCAGCTAAATTAGTGGTCTTGAGATGGGGAGGGATTTTCTGAGTCATCCTAAAAGCGGCCACAAGGTCTTATAAGGGAGGCAGAAGGATGGTGGGGGGAGAGCTGTGGTGATGGAGGAGGGGAGAGGTGGAGTGAGGTGAGGAATTTAGGCAGCCTCGGAGCCCAGAAAGGTAGGGATCTGCTCCTCCCCAGAAGACTGAGGACAGCAGTCCTGGCGACACCTTGCTTTCAGGCCCGCCCATAAGAGTCCCTCTGGACTGCTCACCTCCAGACTGCACAAGGATGAATTAATATTGTTTAAAACCACTCAGTTTGGGGGAACTTGTTAACAGCAACCACAGAAAGCCAATACCAGGTGGATGGCCTTGCAGAGGAGGTGGTGTCTGGCACAGTCTTAAAGAATTAGGGGTTTAGCATGTGTGAGGCCTTGGGTTTGTCCCCAGCAGAAAAAAATAAGGGCTGCATCAATAAAATACCAGAAGAATCAGCCTGGGCAAAGGCCACAAGTGAGTCTGCCCCTGGCACTTTTGACCCTGTAGGGCACAGCCAGGACTTTGCAGGGTGGAGGAAGGCCAAAAAATCAGAGAGCAGAGGCCACTGCACCACACAGGGCCTTACACCAGCCATGGTGAGGGGCATGGCTGTGTCCCTGGTGTCAGTCGGGGCCGTTCAAGGTCTCAACCAAGAAATGACTAGACCGTATCAGAAGCTTAGGCCACTGGCTTCCAAAGAGAGAATCATGGGGCAGCATGGATGGGGAGGCCAACCTGGAGGCTGACAGCCGCCCAGCAGAGAGATGGCCCAGGTGGTGGCAGGAGGAGCTCAGCAGGTAGGCTTCTCTGAGGGTAAGTAAGGTGGGGGCTGGTATCCCCTGATGTGGAGAGACACAGCTAGAAAAGTCAAGTAACACGTTCTGGCTTTGCCAGTAGGTGGCGGCATCCAGTATATCTGGGAAGCTGGGTTCTGGACTTGGGGGCGCTGGGAGGTGTGAACCTGCGGACTCCCCACATTGCCCAGTTACCCACTGTGGGACTGGGCCTTGGATTCGGTGCTATGAAGGCACCACTAGCAAACGACCAGTAAACAGATGGGAAAAAGGTGCTCAGCTTTATAGGAAATCAGAGAAGTGACAATTAACTGCAAAACGTCCTCATATCCAGTGCTGGTCTGTGCTGGGTGAGACAGTGGGGTGTGAATTGGTAAAATGTGTCCAGAGAGCAGCTTGAGAGTCTGTAGCCTAGAAATGTTCATTTCTCACACCTAGAAACATACAGTATTTTAAAGAAATCGACAGGGATGTGGCATTGGAGATTTATGTACAAAGATGTGAATTCTGTCAGTGCCTGAAATTGTATAAAAGTGAGACAATCTGGCTGTTCCAAAACAGGGCAATAGTTACAGAATTTAGAGTATCTTAAAGGAAGGAATATCATGAAGGCTTAAAAAAGATTTGTGCAAAAAATTTTAATGATGTTATAAAATACTCATAAAGTATTTACATTTTAAAAATTGTCTTTATGGTATTGTCTTAGTTGCTTTTCTTGTTGCTAAGACAAACTACTTGACACTCAGTGTTAAAGGAGGAAAGGTTTATTTCAGCTCACAGTTTGTAGAGGTTTCACTCCATAATCGGCTGGCTCCAAGGCAAGGGGGCATGGCAGACAGGCATCTCAGAGGAAGACACAGTTCATGGTGTGGGAAGGCAGGAAGCAGCGAGCAGCAAGCAACAATCAGGAACTCTCTTTCTGTCCCTTATACCCTTAGGGTGGGGAGTACTCACACTCAGGTTCTTAATCCTAGCATCAAACCATGAATCAATCCCGGCATATCATCCTTGATCCCAGCATCACACACCCAAGATCCAGCCACCTCTGAAAAGCCCCACCTATGACTGCATGAGACCTTGGGGGGACATCTAGATACAAAACATAGCAGGTATAGACTTAATTCTACCAAGAAAGTTGTAAAGAGACATTAAGGCAATATGAGGTGAGATTAAAAAATATGGAGAATAATTTTTTTAAATTTTTATTACAGTAAAGGATATATTGCCACAAAACCCCCTCAAAATACTCCTCCTGGCTTCAAACACACTTATCCCACCATTCTTGCCATTTTCTGAAGTAATTTTGGAAGTCTGCTTTCCCGAGTGTCTTTAGATGCACTGTCCTGGTGTCTTGATGTCCTGAATTGATTCAAAACGTTTACCTTTCATGGTCATTTTGACTTTGGGCAAGAGCCAGATGGCACATGGTGTCAGATCTGGTAAATAAGGTGGATGAGGACACACCATAATGATTTTATGAGCTTGCCTTTCCATTAGATGGCGCTCAGCTGCAGCATTCACCATATTTTTTTTTATCACAACCCTTAAAGACACTAATGCAAGAGGACTTTCAGTACTTTCTTGTGGATAAAGGAGGCAGAAAGAACAACATTAGTTAGGACCAGACCTTGGTAGTAGTAAGGTGCCTCTAAGTCTTTTTCAATGGAGCCCTTTTCCTCTCTGAGCTACAGTTTCCCATTTCCTGTCAGAATCTCTGAGGTTCTCATCAGCAACAGCATGGGGACCCCTTTGGTGCTCCCCACTGGCCTGGTCTAGGAGCTGTAATATCAGGAGTGTCCACCCGGGAGCGCGCGGCGCACATCCTTCTTCCAACCCAGTGTCACCTGTCCCCCTGCATGGAGTTTGGGGGTGCTCCGGGTCTAGATCGGCTTGCGTGGTCCTGGCAGCAGACACTGAGATGGAGTTAGGAGCAGGGTCTTCTTCACCAGCCTCAGGGACATGGGCCGAGACGGCTGCATTCCCTTAAGGGGACTGCATACCAAGGGTCCTGCAGCCTTGGTTGTAAAGGAGTTCTTCTCCCCATCCCCAGCACAATGCCACCTCTCAGCAGCTCCCAGAAAGGGAGCCTGGAGATGGTTTTTCCCAATCAGTCAGATCCCAGGGTTCCAGGGGATAGGGTGGGGCTGGGGAGGCCTGGGCTGGGCAAGGGGAGCACCTGCCTGTGCCATGTAAGGCTGTCCCCTCCCAATTCCTCTCAGGCGCTATGATGCCCATCTGCTATCTTGGAGCACTTGGGCAATGGCTGAAGCCCCTCTCTCCAGGGTCCAGATGGCCACTCTACCCTTCCTCCTCACTTCCCTTCTGCCCTGGCCCCTGGCCCCACTGAGAGCAAAGGCCTGGGAAAAAAATCAACAGGGCCCTAGCACCTGGTGTTTGCAGGAAACTGGGACAGGTAGGGGTCCTTGGTTGTCATGGAGACCAGGCCCATCAACCTCTCTGCAGGAGGGGGTGGATGGCTAGAGGATGGACAAGTGTCCAGTCTGTAGAGTATACAGAGGAACATACATACCTGGACACACACATGCACACACACCCACACACCCACTCAACAACTCCTCCCATACACACACACAAGTGCCCGAGACTATTGTGGCTGTGACCTGCCATTGTGTACTGAGCTGAGACAGTGTAGACAAGTATGCAGAGATGTGCAAGGCCTCCTGTGTATGAGTGGAGGTGTTCTGGTAGATCTGAGTCGGTGAAGCCATGTTCACCCTGCTACTGTATGGAGTGGGCAGGTGTGTATTATGAGAGTGTGCACTTAGTAAAGGTGTGTTTATGAGCCTGAACATGAGTGTGTGCACATACATGAATGTAGATGGGGAGGGTTGTGAGTGTCCAGTTCTGCCACAGGTCTTGTCCCCTTACTACCCTAAAAACAGTAAGTACCCACTGGGTACTGGGGCCAGGGGCCCAGGAGAAAGGCCTGAATGATTTTCTCTTCCAGCTGCCCCTTCCCATGCCTTTGTCAATTGGGACACTCAGGAAAAAGCCAGCTGGCTGATCCCCAGGGCTGCTCAAAAGTGGGCTTTGGTGCTGGGGACTGGCTGGACTATGGGGTAGGGTGGAGGAACCTTGGGAGATTCAGGAAGGAGCACGGACCCAGGTCCAAAGGCCTAGTTAATCCCTCAGCTTCTGGGTACAATGGAGCTGCCCTTCCTGGTCCCCGTTGTGTCACTAGAGCTCCCTGTACTAGGATATAGTTCCTTGTGAACCCCAGGGAGCTCTCCAGGGGGGTCCTAATTCACCCCTTTAAGTCAGAGTTCAAAGAGTGTAGGGTCTGGGTCTACACTTTTTACCGGAATAATTCCCCATAAAATACAGGTGGTCCAGTTAAATTTGAATTTCAGATTAAAATATTTAGTATAAATGAACCCCAAATATTGAATAGGAAATACTTATACTAAAAAAAAGTATACATTGTTCCATTTTTTAGTGTATGCACTGCCAAAGTGAGCACTACTCATTGTTCCTTGAAATTCAAATATGACTGGGCATCTTGGGCTTTTATTTGCTGAACCTGGAAGCCCTATGTGGGAAGCCCCTCAAAGATACAAATAGGATGAAAATGAAAGAATGGATAAATATATTCCACACAAAAGGTAACCAAAACACAGCTGCGGTAGCATACCAATGTCAGAAAAAAAAAATAAACTTTAAGTCAAAAATTGTTATAAGAGACAAAGAAAAACATTATATGTTCATGAAAGGGTTGATCTATTTAAAAGATATAACATTACACAAGCACAAAGACCTGAGTTCGATCCCTTGTACCAAAAATAAATAAATAAATAAAAGATATAACAATTATAAGCATATATGCACCTAACAACATAGCCCCCCAAAATATAAAGCAAATGTCAACAAAATTGAAGGGAAAAGACAGTTCTACAATAATAGTTCACAATTTCAATATCTCACTTTCAATAATGCATAGAAAAAATAGAAATAAGATCAATAAGGAAATAGAGGACTTGAACAACACTATAAATCACATAGACTGGGTAGGGTTTTAATGTCCTTCTTCATCAAAAGTCATAGTGAAAATTTTTCCCTATTGTAAGGTATTAGAAAGAAACTTAACTTGACTGTGGGAGTTGGATGCAGGACCTTTGGGAAATAATTAAGGTTAAATGAGGCCATAAGGGTGGAAAATTAGTCCAATGGGACTGTGGCTTTAAGAAGAGGAAGAAAGACATGAGCTAGGATGTAGAGTCCCTCCTCTGCTGTCACATTCTTGCTGTTTGGGACATGCAGACTCGCTGCCAGTGAAAAGAACCTCGCCAGACACCCAGAGAGATTGCCATGGGAGTGGAAGCAAGTATTTTTATCTTGGTTTGCAGCTATGGACTTTGACCAAAAAAGTCAAAGCAACCAACCTGAGTTCCCCCTGCAACCGGGGCTTGAAAGCATCATAGTCCCAAGCTGTGGAGCAATGGTGGATTCCCCATGCACAGACTGTCTGGGCATCAGTTCAGTGTACCTTCAGGGCATCCTGACAGCTGGGTGATTTTGCACCCATTCTTTTTTTAAAAAAACTTCACTTTGAAGAATTGTCTTAGGTTCACAGAAAAATGGAGCAGAAAGCACAGCAATTTCCTGTGTGTCCCTGCTTCTCATGTGCACACTTTGAGTCCTGCTTGGAAAGGGGATACGAGTCACAGTCAGTGAGGCTGTGCTTACACATCCTTCTCATCCAAAGTACATAGCTTACTGGAAGCTTCCCTCTTGGTCTTGTCCACTGTACTGGCTTGATGAGTGTTTAATGACACAACTCCACCATCACTGTATAGAGAAAGGTTTCACTGGCCTAAAAATTCTCTATGCTCCTTCTGTTCAGGCCACCACCCCAATCCTTGGCAACTATTGATTGTTTTACTGTGTCCACAATTTGGTGTTTTTGAGACTATCATGCAGTTGGCTTTTGGGTTTTGTTTTTGTTTTCTTTGAAAAGGGGTCTTGCTATGTAGCACAAGTTGGCC